GGCATAGATTAGAAACTAGAGAGACTTGTATTAGTCAATCATTAGATTTTGTGGATATATACCACCTCCTTTCCCTTGTTACAACTTATTTTAATATCTGGTTAATTTGTATCTATCTAACTCCATATTTTGAGGCTAATATTTTTTATACTTCCAGTACTCAATTTACTTGTATAATAGAGGACACGTTTCTTTCTCTGTAAATTAAACTAGCATGGATTGAATTCAGTCACTCTTGTTCTACTGCAGGTATCAGAATTTATCAGTTTGACTTTTCTAATATCTGTATCCTAAGGCAAAATTTTGGGTTTTAACATTTAATCTAAATTCGATCCTTGTTCTATAAGTGCCCCATGGATTGGTTTTTATTGGATTTGTAATAAAAGTAAAATTAAAAAATTCTAAACATTATTTGGCTTGATTTTTTTCAGTTCTTTTCATTTTTTTTATTTCTTGTATTTTTTATTTTTTTTGCTTTAGTAGTTAAGCATAAAGAAAATACACAGTAGGACTTGCAGGTCTCCTATAGCATTGATAAACATGATGTCTTATTTGATGGCATAACCAAAATAAACATTAGAATTATAAACTTTGAGAGACGCCCAGGTCTCAAATTATGCAATGCAGGTTTGAGGACACGCAGGTCTCAAGTCCTATATCAATTACAAGATAAACACTGATAAGACACCGTATGAACTCTTGGGTTGCCCATGTGCTGTACAACTTGTTAACGTTCCCAAGGACTTTCCGTGTGACTACAGATCTACATTTCTGAATGTTCAATGGTGACAGTGATACGTGTGGAATTCTAACATTCCTTCCTATCCCTGCATGGTTGCTTTGGTAGATCTGTACGTGTGCCCTCAGGGTAAACAAAATGAGGGATCCAAGATATTTCTAGGTGTTTGAGTAGGGCCCATTGGTTAAGCTAGAGACCATTGGTTAAGCTAAGTTGGTTATCAGCCAAGGAATATATTCCCCTTAATACTACAGTAGGTCCAAGGGTGGGGTGCGGTGCAACTGCAGCATCCTAAGCTGGACCTTCATTGTCTAGCTGGGGGCCTGAGGGTAGGTGGTAGGGTTTAGAGAAAAGAGGGGGTAGGAGGGTAGTCAGAGGGGTTAATGAAGGAAGCTGGGGGAGGAGATGGAGTATTAAGTCATCGTATGTTTCAATGGGAATCTGTCAATGGGAGAGGCAAAATACCAATTTAAAAAACCTGGTGGACAGGCGATACGCATCTTGGAGGAAGGATTCCAATGTTTCATATGGATTTTATTTGCTTTATATAGTTTGACATTTTATTTTATTTTTTTAAATAAATATTTGCTGAAATCTACACCTACTAGTGATTCCTTCTTGAAAATTACACCCTGGGTTCCTAAAAGGGTGTTGAACCCTATATTTAACCTACAAATTTTGAGCCAGCCATTTAAGTGCTCTTAACTAAAGTGAGCAGGCAATTTTTGGGTATAGTTGTTTGTTTCTATACCCAATATACTGCACCGTACCATATTCCTTTCCTTTTTTTTTTCATTATATATAGATCTCTGGAAGTGATCTATCGTACCACTGCAAAAGAAGCTATTGCTGCCACTTTAAGGGCACAGAAGTCTACAAGTTTGGAGCCTTTATCTCTTTAAAATGCACATTCAACTGTGAGTTTTCATTCACTTACCTTAATACCTATATATATTTCTCTTAACACAACAATTGCACTATTATTTTGCATCTTTTATAAGTCTATATGCAGCCTCAGTATAAATATTATGGGGTAAGTGATATATCTAAAATATTAACGCTGCACTCGCACTTAGTGTTTATGTGATATACAAATCCAAAAAACACACAAAGTTTGACATTTTGTGTTTGGGAGCTTGCAACCATGTTGCACAACAGGAATGCTGGCTCTCCAAATTGGTATGCCACTGGATGGTACTCTTTAGGCATCTACTCTGTTCCTTCTGAGACCATTCTGATGGATTGTCTAGGTCCAATCCAATGCTATTTATAGAGAAGACCAATGGTTCACTCCAGGAGATGCTTCTAATAGAGAAGTATTGAATCTTATGCTTCTCTATGAGATGCATTCCCAACGTTCAGCTCCATCTGCACATGTTGATGTGGAATGTGATTTGCAAAAGTCTTCTTCAATCTGACAGCAACCACATATCCAAATATCAACATTGCGATCTTTCGGAAATGTCAATGTTTTAAATTACTGAACTGCGGGACAAGCTCAATGCACCAAAACCACTTAATTAAGATGAAGTCATTTTAATTCTTGTGTCTTATTTATATGAAATCAATAACATTTCAATTTAAAAATAACAGCATATGATTTATTGATCCTCATATTTTAGGGAGAAGCCCTACATAAGAAGGTATCTACCTTGGGTGATATGTGGGATCATTGGAGCTTACAATCAATTAAACTGAAAGGTAAGAAAGTAGGTTGGTTCAAAAGAGGTTTTGGACTTGATAGGATGCTACTGTGACCTGGGGCATCGGAAAGGAAATGAGGTGAGCAAGGCTTAGAGGAATTAATGCTAAAAGCAGTTACACTATGCAATTATCTGACCCAATTTCATCAACATAGAGGAGAGAAATGGGCCAAGCTGAAACTCACATAAGACAGACCACACTCTTGGTAAATTAAAGTATTTATTTATGTGCTAGGGACATTCACAGCCAATTCTTTGTACAACTTCATCTACTATTTGTTGTAATGTTTCTTTAATATTAAGGTATTTATTAACATTGTTTCAAAGCATCGCAAGAACATAGAAAGTGTATTTGGTTTTTGGGTTGACTCATCATCAGTATTTATATACTAACATGTTGCAATGTACTACTTTATGTAAAAAGTCTTGTTGTCTAATATATTCAAAGTCAACACAATTATAAAATTTGTAAATTTTATTTATCAGCGCTGATACAGACATATTTAATATACTGTTATTAATTGCAGACTATTTTATATTGTAATGGCTACTATAATAATTCAGAGTAGTATGACAGGCTTTTAAACTCATACTTCAAGGCTGTGGTGTGAATACAAGAAAATACACAAGTATTCATAACTAACAAGTGATGTAATACTTTGACATCTGCTGACCAAGGGTTTCATGGTACACAGTAAATCACATTAGTCCACTTGTTGTATAATCATTTATCTTCTGATTATGCTTGGCCTGGCAGCATTTGTGATTGCATTGCTTGCAAAGTGATTAATAACCTGAGATACTGTTCATATCGTAAATACATCTTGTTTTATGACATGTTGTACAAACAAAGTAATCGGATATAAATACTAGATTTTTTTCCCTAACTGCTGATATTTGTACTTACACTTAAACATTTTTACATACACATACACAAACTGGCAACAGGAGTCACTATGTATTTTAGTAATATAGCAATTTCTACATGAACATTTAAAAGTTATTTCTCTTTAAAGGAATACTCCAAGCACCATAATCACTACAGCTTGCTGTTTTAGAAGAGTTTGACTTCTTACCTGGGGATTTCTGGGTTCCGCAACCTGCCACCATTACTTCGTCAGAAAGAGAGCTGGAAGCTAAGCACTGCGAGCTGTAGTACTATGGTGCATGGAGTGTTCCTTTAAGGGTCTTCTGTACACATAAAAAAATCCAACACAAACTAGTACCTGTGGGTTATTGCTTTGTTTTGGACATTAATTATCCTAATTTTCGCTTTGTGAGTTGTAAGAAAGGAATCCTGAAAGTTATTTAAGATTGGTATAAGAATGCATGCACCTACTTCTTAAATTCTTTATTTATGACATGTTTAAAAGGGCATTATAGGCACCAAAACAACGTTAGCTTAATTAAGCAGTATCGGTGTATAAATCATGCCCCTGCAGTCTCACTACTCAATGCTCTGACATTTAGGAGTTAAATCACTTTGTTTATGCAACCTTAGTCACATCACTCTGGACGTGACTCATAGCTTTCCTAAACATTTTCTGTAAAGAGAGATGTAATGTTTAAACCTCCTTAATTGTGCAGTCTGTTTGTTTAATTTAGAATTTCTTATCTTCTGCTCTGTTAATGGCCTTCTCGAGTCTGCAGGACCCTCCTGTGTGTTATTATCTTAAGGTCTATTTACAGAGAAAGAGGAAAAAAACTTCTAAAGCAAGTTAACATCTGATTGAAAATTAAACCATTGTATTTAATGCAGGCTTTGTGAGTAACAGCCAGGGGAAGTGTGGCAAGGGCTGCATGGAAACAAAGGTAATTTAATTCCTAAATGGCAGAGAATTGAGCAAATAGAAGAGTCCATGTTACATGTATTATACAGTAAATAAACAACAAAAGAACAATAGCAATAAAATGATACATTCCTGAGCATGCGTGTTTATTTTTACTTCATTTATTAAGATCTGAGGAAAAAAGGTTCTCTCTCTCATCCAGAAAATAAGACTCTTTGAAAATGTGTTCTCTCTCTGTCAAGAACTTTAAAACCATAGGTTGCCATAAAACACATTCCTGCTATCCAATGTCTTATGAAATTATGATGTATTGTAAAGGGTAAGCACTACCTTGTTCTATACCCACCTGGAGGATTGGTTCATTTCCAGAGTCATCACTCTTCTTCTAAAAATAACCAAAAATAAAAAATAGTATTTAAATATTTATTTCACTTAAGTAAAAAAAAGTAACAGAAATGCAACAAATTGTCAGGAGACCTACCACCCTCTGACTGGCACTGGTGGGACTTGAACCAGTCTCCCACTTTTTTCCTCTACGCTCTGCTCGGAGGTCCACTCATCAATCCTGGGAAGATTCCCGAAGGTTGCTTAGTCACATTGAGTGTTTGTTTTATAGAGCACCTGAGGGTCAGTGTTGATCACTCCCAGGAAGCAGAATCACTTAGTCAGGACTACCCTGTTTAAAAGAGCTCCCTGGCTCATCTGGGCCCTTTTGTGATTCCAGAGTCGTTAGCAATATTTTGTACCTGTTCTTTGAGTCTCTGTTGACTCTGTTGGCTTTGACTACGCTTTTGGTCTCCTGGCCTGGTGTACCTGACCTGGCCTGTTAACTTCCCTGAGTGCTTAGTGTTCCAGTCTTCTGACTCATCTGACTACCTAGCTAGTGCACTAGTCCCTGGCTTGTTTACGAACATTACTCTTCTCCGTGCTCCTGACCCTTGCCTGTCCCGACTATGCCTTGATTTCAGTGTTCCTGTTACCTGCCTGTATCTTGTACCATGCATTTTTTTGTTCTGGTATTTTTTTATTTATTTAATTATTCATTAATTTTTTTATTTTGTTTTTCTCCTGGTCTGTGACTTTTATTAGTCTAGTCCAGTTATTTTTGTCATTTAGTATCTTTATGTTTAGCTTTGTCATTCTATAGTCTGGTAACACACCTCTTCTTAACCTTCTGTCTTTACCTTGGTTAGGTTGCTGTCTCTCACCTTGCTAAGGATATACAAACCAACCCTGACACAATTCTGGGGGAATTATCTTGAGAAGTTTTAGTACTCATAGTAGAGAAATGCTTTTCACATCTGCTTCAGGTGGTGAAATGCAAATCAATACCCTATACACATATGCTTAAACTCATCTAGACTAATACCACCCACTTGAGGAAGAGAAACACAAATCACAACTGTATTAATTGCTGAAGCCATATTCATGCTTACTCCAAGTGGTGAAGTCATATATGGTCTTTTTCACTTGTAATTCTTCTTCTTTCCAATGAATATATGTTAGAATGCACACAAGGCATCTGCATGTCCATCACTGTATTCATATTCACAACTGTGATATAATTTTATATTCCAGTATCATCACATCAGATGAGTAGATTTTTTTATGAGCTTCTCTATCTTACAGAACTGCTTTAAACATCTTCTTGTGTTCCTTTAGCTGCTTGGCAAGCCTCTTCTTTTAGAAGGTTCAAGACTGAGAACCAAAAATAGAAAATAGTAAGATCTCCATAAGAAACACGTCAAAAACAGGACATGAAAACAATATATATATATATATATATATATATATATATATATATATATATATATATATATATATATATATATATATGTATATGTTACCAGAACATATTGTAACTATACCAAGGTAAACAAACATTATAAATGCAGAGCTATGGCAGCTTTCCTTAGAACTACAGACCTTGGTGAACTACATTACAAACACCTGGAGTGCCAGTGGTAGCTATCACGGTTGTAAAACAAATCTAGCTCTCTTTTTTTTTTTTTGTACAAACGCTTTCATGTAGCCCCATGTACCAAAAGCGCAGCTTAGTGGAAAGGGGCCTTGACAGGGATAGGAGGCGGGCATAAGGAGGAAGCATGTAGGGATTGGTGGTTTGAGGGTTGGGGGTTTAACTATATAAATAGGCAGCCATCTTAGAAGAGTCACTTTTAACTTGCCTATCTGGGTGAGTTTGTGTGCACCTTGTGTGTCCACTGATTTGGCCTGGTAGGTTTCTTACACTACACTGACACGTTACTGAACACATTGCAGTCCCTACTTAACTCGTTGGGGGTGTGGGGTAGTCAGGGCTCTAGCGAAGGCTGGGTGTGGGAGCCCGGGGCCGGGGTCACGGCAAACACGGGGTCAGGTGTTGGTGGCGCAGCGAGGTGCGGCTTGGGTGGAGACACATGGGCAATGGAAGGGCCAGCGGAGGTCGGGAGCGAGAGGGCAGAATTTCAGGGGGGTTCCGGACGCGGCAGCACGTGTATGTGTCGTTCTCTGGACCATTGGGGGTTCACTTGAAATAAGACATGAAGGAGAAGTTATGGAAAGGGGTGTTCTGCAAACTTTTTTTGCTTCTTTACTTGGAGGACTTCATGGACCTCAAGGAAGAGGACAAAAAGGAGGAGAAACTGAAGCTGTATTGTAATATACCGAAGTCTTTCGGAAATTGGTTAAGGGCGTTCTGCGTACTGGTCAGCATCCTAGGTGAGAAGTCGCCTGGGCTACGTTTGTCGCTGTTCTGCTACGTAGACGGGATCTGGGAGGCGTACCGCATGTACGGCGGGCTGGTGTGGTGGAGGTACGACGAACAGTTCCGACAACGGCTAGTGCAGGCCTGCCCGGACTAGATGTGGCAGCTCGGAGCCTCTTGCTTGGGGGATACGTAAGAGCATGTTTGGCACCGGCCACGTGGGCCGCATACAGTAAGGTCTGGGATTCGTGGGAACACTTGTGGGGTGGGCTGGATCAGGCGTTGGTGGGGGAATTGCGACTCAATGTCTTGCTTTAGTTTACATTCCGGTTGTTAGCGGGGGGTGCCTCTCCAGCGGTGATGGATAGGAACATGGCGGTGCTAGCATTTTGGTTTAAGTTGCGCTGGTGGGACGATCTTACAAAGTCCTTTGTGATCCGCCAGGCACTTAAGGGGTATCGGAGGGGTCATAGGGTTCCTGATGCTAGGAGGCCGGTGTCCATGAGGGTGTTGGGGGGTCTAATTCGAGCATTGCCCGAGGTTTGCTTAGACTTTGAAGGGTTTCTGTTTAGTGAGGAGTTCCTCTTGGCCTTTTTTGGTGCATTTTGGATCGGGGAACTGGTGAGCACTAATCCGGTGGCTAATGGTGGTCGTCGGGCCTTCATTCGTTTTCTGGGCCAAAAGGAGGGCTGCAGCTTGAGCGCAGGGTAAGCAGCTGGGCTTTCCGAAGGACCAGTTGGCACGTTGTTGGTTTGGTTACAGGGGGATTTTGTTGGAGGATGTGTCTGTAATGCTGTGTTCAGGATGGTGGCGGGCGGGGGTAGGCCGGATTTGTTCTCCACGCTGGGGGGAATGATCTGGGCCTAATACCACAGCGGCGGCTAGTGAAGTGGATGAAGCAGTACCTTAATAGGTTGAGGGACCTGCTTCCCGGGGTCATGTTGATGTGGTCAGAGAATAAAAAAAGCTAGGTCCAACATAAAAATATCTATAAAATACATAGATCTGAGAGCCACAAACAGAGCTGAGAGAAAATAGAGATATAATACACAGAGTATTGTGCTAGGCACAATACAGATATACCTATACAATGCACAGAGCTGGGTAGATTAAAGAAATAGCCATACATCAGGTAGTGCCAGTGCCGTACATACCAGGGTCGCAGGGGTCGCGGCTGCGACCGGGCCTGGCCCACCAGGGGGCCCGGCCGCCCCTGCGACCCGGTGTGTACCCACAGGGCCAGCCTCTTCTCCTGGGGGGGCCCAGGAACCGACCACCCCAGGGCCCCCCTAGGCTGGCCCTGCTGACACCCGGAAGGCGGGTGGCCGGTCGGGAAGGCGGGCGTGCGAGGGAGCACTCAGGGCTTCCTCTTCAGCTCCCTCGCGCACTGCACTGATACCGGCATCCCTACACGGCGCGCAAGGGAACTGAAGAAGAAGCACTGAGTGCTCCCTCGCGCGCCCGCCTGCCCGACCGGCCACCCGCCTTCCGGGTGTCAGCAGCACCACTGGACCCCAGGGAATCCCCCCAGCACTCCAAAAGGTAAGGAGGCTGGGGGGATTAATTTTTTTTTTTTAAATGTGTTAGAGTGTGAGTGTTAGAGTGTGAGTGTTAGAGTGTGAGTGTTAGAGTGTGTGTGTTAGAGTGAGTGTTAGAGTGAGTGTGTGTGTCTGCTAGTGAGTGTTAGTGTGAATGTTAGAGTGTGAGTGTTAGAGTGAGTGTTAGTGTGTGTGTCTGCTAGTGAGTGTCAGTGAGTTTGTTACAGTGTGTGTCTTACTAAGTGTGTGTGTGTGTGTGTGTTAGTGAGTCTGTTTGATGTCTGTTAGTGAGTTTGTGTTTGTCAATGAGAGTGTATGTTTTGTAAGTGTAAGTCTATGTATGTCTGTCGCTGAGTGTGTCTCTGTCAGTAAATGTGAGTGTCTGTTAGCTAGTGTGTATGCGTCTGTAAGTGAGAGTGTGTGTGTCTTCAGCACTTACCTTTCTCCAGCGCCGGACTCCCTTGGCGCTGGGGATCCCTCAGCCTCTCAGCTCCGAATGCGACCACGCACGCATTCAAACCGCCCATAGGAAAGCATTACTCAATGCTTTCCTATGGACATTCAGTGTGCTCCTCTAGCGGCTGTCTAGAGGCTGGATTAACCCTCAGTGAAACATAGCAGTTTCTCTGAAACTGCTATGTTTTCAGCTGCAGGGTTAAAACTAGAGGGACCTGACACCCAGACAACTTCATTGAGCTGATGTCATCTGGGTGTCTGTTGTGGTCCTTTAAGTGTGTGTGCATCTGCATGCACTGGCGTACATACCGCGGTCGCAGGGGTCGCAGCCCTGTAACCCCTGCGACCAGGTGCCCACCGCCATGTGTTGTGGCCTGGCCCGCGCGCCATATTTCTAAATGTAATTTGCAATATTAATGCATAATGTAATGGACGGGTTATATTTTTTTATTGTTTCTAGTTATACATAATGAGTTCTGTACCTTTAAATGCTATTTGCACTTTTGATGTATAATATAATAGACTGGCTATATATTTGAGAATTTTAATTAGTTGTTTTTTTGTCATGCACATTGTACAAATGATGAATGAAATAATTACCTATACAGAATTGTTTTTGAGTGCATTTACACTACTCCGTAAGACCCGGTGGTCTAATACGGAAGTGTGTTCCGGCACAAATTGTTAATAAAGTTGTTTGCGTTCCAAGGTTGAATATACGCACATGCGCGGCTATGTGTACGGACAAACTAGCCGCAATGCGCATGCGCGTAATGAAAAGAACGCGCGAAACACTGAACTTAAAAAGCCGGAAAAATGAATCTATATACAGCTCTTGAAAAAGTCGGTAAGACGAAACGCGTCGAGCAGTTTGAAGCATATCATTACCCCTACAGATGTGTATTGGACAGATTTGGATTCCAGCGAAATAAGGACTGACCGTTATTGAGTCTGGAGAATTGGATCCACTGTATGGAGGGTTATTTAGCCCAGGAAGGGGCTGACAAGCTTGTATAGCACAATTTAGACGTATGTCCCTATTGTGCCAATACTTTTGTGAGTGCATTTTTTATCTTTTTATTATTTGTATTTGTATCATTAAATACTTCACTATATACTGTATTTTTTTATCTCTTTATATGATACCCTGTGTCTACCATTTGGTAAATATAATTACACGTGTGTGATTGTGGCGCCCCCGGTGGTATATGTTTTTTAACTATACTAATTTGTTGGATTGTATTGTTTGGGATTGGGAGTGATCCCTAATTTGGAGTGGCTAGCC